GCTTGTAACTTTTACTATCTATTTGTATATCGTTTAGTACTGTAGTAACGAATAGATATATGAAATATTGTAAAACCTCTAACCCGAATACAAACTTAAAAAAGAAATGTGACGACCAATCAAATGTGCGAACGTTTTTGCAGATCATTCTAGAACCCGATTTCCAAATATAGTATATTCCCTGACTGAATTTGCCTGGAAATTTTTACTGTTTGTACGTACTATCATATTAAATTGCACTAAATTGTTATTTACGTCATAACCAATGTTCTGCGCAAGCCACAAGCATCATATTTTACTCGTTTTGTAACATACATACATACCGTAATGCTGAAGAAATCTTTATTAAAAAATCGAAATCTCTTGTAGTCATCGCCTTGCTCACGTGAACATTCGTCATTACAAAAAAGCCCTTTTCCTTTATTATGTTCCCTTTTGGCCTCCTTTTCGTTTCTCCTTTTCATTCCTCCTTTTATTAAACCCATTCGATTACCTTTATGACCCTCTGATTCAGCTATTTTCTATCGACAATTGCTGACTTATTTGCCTTAGAGACCTTACTGCGCTGATATAATATTCATCTAAGTTGGCACTTTTTTTTTTTCGAGCCAAGTCAGTGTGCCTTACTATTTGCCTGAATTAACCATTAATTGTTACAGCATATACGCACGTACACTTAATTAAAGCTTAATGTATTGAACCAGTGGTAAGATGGGACATACAGTATTTACAATTTTATTCTTTTGCAATACAATTCGGGTTTATTAAAATTTCAGATCAGCTTTTATTTATTCAATTTGCCTTACTTTATTCATTTACTTTTTTTTGCCTTGCTTTTATTTTTTGTCTTACCTGCCTTTTTTTATTTAATAGTTTAATTATTTTGCTTATTTCTTTGCTTTTAACTTTTTTTTTTTTTTTTTTTTTTTTAATGTTAAAGTAAAATTTTATTTAGAATCACGCATTACTTAGTTTTAGATATGAAGCATATTGAACAATAATCCAGGAGGTAAACGG